GATTTATGCTCTCTCTTGACAGCAGTTTAACCCATTAAAAACTAATTTGTAGCTCAGTGGTAGACTGCGTTTGGCTATTATGCACAAGGGTTTTATTCCCAACACCATGAAAAAAATTAACCCTAATCTGTCACCTCACAGAATTCAAAAAGGGAGGACCCAAAATAATAAACCATATGGATGACAATATATAATACACTGGAGGCCCAAGTCTTCTCTGTTAGTATGACCTTTGTCACATGAATGCAAAGAAGATATGTGACTTACAGAAAATGAGGAAAAGGGAGGCAGTGCTGAGATAAGAGCCATAGATCCAGTCTGTGGAGTCCTGGTAGGTGTCAGATGGGTCACCAAGGTCTGCTTACAGCACAGGAGAACATGCCATCTGCCACAGATGAACTCTGAAATGCCCTCCGCACACTGCGGGGACTTTCCATCTAGTGCACCAGCTAGCCAGGTAGAGACAAGTGTCAAAAATAAGAAGAACAGGACTGGTAGAGTGTCATAAGCAGCAAGAGTGCCTGCCTAGCAAGTGTGAAGCCCTGAGTTCAAACCCCACTGCTGCCAAAATGACAACAGCATTCACAATGACACCTCTTTTCAGTCCAGGAAATGGCAAATGACACAGGAGACAGGCATGGAACGATCCCCACCCACTCTGGGTCTGTGTTGCATAAGAAGGGTAGAACTACGCTGTATCACCCACCCTGTACACTGACAGTAAAACACACCTAGGGAGGCACCACAGAGTCTGTTTACGCTTCTGAGTGGGTACCAGCAGAGGAGCCATGCACTCTTTCAACCTAGAAGATGTCAGTAAAGAAGGTTCACAAGTAGAAGTTGGGAGAACAGGAAAGATTAAGTAATACTGTGGTCCCATTTGCCACCCTACCCAGTGATCAGGGGCAGGGGGAGCCCTCATATACATACCATGAGGGCATTAGAGAATGTTCCAGAATTGCTCTGTCTTCACTATTGTCAGCTTATATTCTCTGCCAACTACACCGTAATAGCGGAACTTAGAGAACAGTCTCTTTGCTTTGGACAGTAGATAAGCACATTAAAGGACAGACATTTCTGGAACGGACAACCATTAGAAGTTTTCCAAAGATTATTCATGGCACAGGCAAAAAAACATTTCTATCACTGAGAAACGTGAAACAAACAGGAAAGAGTGCCTACCTAATGAGCAGGAGGCTCTGAGTTCAAATCCTAACACCACCCAAAACAAATAAATTGAACAACCAGGACACATATACATTATGAGCCCACCTGTGTTTTTTAAAAAACACATTTCTACAAAAATGGAAGGAAGTATGCCAAAACATTAACTTTGCCTTTGGGAGATATTTTTGCTGTTTTACTCAACCAACTTCTACTGGGGGAAGGGTGAGGAGACAAAAGTAGAATTTTCAGTTTTAACAGAATGTTTGCTAATTCAGAGTTACAATGTGGGGATTTATAAATTAATACCAACTTCCCTTATAACGCACTATGTTATGTAAATCCAGATTTTCCACACGTAACACGTACTGAAAAATAAAGTACCCAGGAAATGAAATAATATCTATATTTGTTTCAAATGACTAATTAGCAAAACTAAAACTTTCGCTGTGATGCCATGCTTTTTAGAAATCAGATATATAACAAGCCACAGATTTATAGGATGTGGTCTAATAACCCTAAAAAATAGTTTCATTTCCTCTCACCAAACTGGTTAACTCCCTGTCTATGTGACTAGTTTTGCAAATTTAGCAGAAGTCTCTTTTTCCCTAAAATTTGTTAAGTTGAGAGGTTAATGGGTAAATTGTAGCAATAATTTGCTCCCTTCTGAAAACATACACACCCCTAAAAAACGAAATAGCAACAGGCAAAAGGGCAGGTTGGCCAAAAATTCCAAAGGGAAATAAGAGACTGTTTTCCTAAATCCCTAGTCACTGGTCACGAAAAGAGGAAGGAAACAAAGAATAAGGGAAGGGTTGACAAAGAACTTTTTAAAGTTTGTTTGCAAGCATTTCAGTGACAATGGTATTGACTAAGCAATTACAGAAGAAAAAAATACTTTCTTATCTGAATGAAGTTATGCTGTGGGTCACACCCTATTATTGTCACTATTCAACATGTTAATAGCCTCAATGCAATGACTTTGTGTGACTACCTTTAAAATGTAAGTGAATAGCTAACTAGAAAGAAGTGACTCATGCTGCCCAGGTCAGTATTGACTTTTAGTCATATTTGCTCAACTAGTCTCCCAAGCTCACTTCCCTAGAAGAGAACTAAAGGGTCAGAACTAAACTGAAAGGCAAGCAAAGAGAAAGAAGGGACAGTGACTTAAATAGAGATGGCACAGAAGGTATCCTGGATGAGAAGCTTGAAAACTAAAAACTTAGAAGTCCTGATTCCCAAGTTCCCTCCTGGTGCCCAAAAAGGCAGGTATCAAACAGGACCAAACACAGTGTCCTTCAGCAGGTGGAAGATGGGTTGTGTGGAAGGATCTCAGCCATTGTAATAGCCATGGTCTTTCGCTCACAGCTCTGTGATCTATTAGGCAAGTTGCTTCATCTCCCTGTGGCTCAGTTATCTTCTTTGCAAAACGGGAATGATTCTAGTGTTTCCCTCTTAGAGTTGCTGCCAGGTTGTCAACGGTTAACATAGCATAAAATAGTGCCTGGACCATAGGAAGCCAGTATTAATTGTCCAGGGATCTCCCTACGTGCCCTTTCACAGACCTAGGGATTGCATCACAGACAAGCAAAAGCCTTGCCAACAGAACTCTGGACTCAAACCTGTGTCTCCAGACTGCCAGTCTGCTTTCTACCTCACTCTGCAGAGCCATTTCTAGCATGCACATGGCGTGAATTGGGATTTTCACCCCCCAACAAAACTCTTGAAGTAGCAAGAACTAGGACCTTCACATATAAACTTCTGTGAAAACCTACATGGAAAGAAAGCGTGTTAACAACATACACCAGCAGCCGCTGGCCCATCACACAGAAGCACTGACAGTGTGGGATTGCCCAAGAATCCTGCCAGGGCTTGTGCCACTAAGCACAGCAGCTCTCTCACCAAGCACTCATCTTATACACAGCCCATGTGATGGGGAAACTGAGGCATGGAGCAGCTAGGTAACTCGCCCTCAAGTTGCTCCAGCCCATAAGTGGCACCTCTGTGTCCAGCTTATTCCCAATTTGGAATATACAGCATTTTGGCACCTCCTGGCGAGACGTCTCTCTGTCCTGAGGACAAGGCGGAGACATGTTCAAGGTCACTGGCACCAGGGTTCTAATTGGCTTCCTGCAGATCTTGAGTTATAAGGAAGAAACCCAGTCTTTCTGTTTCCTCATATCAGCTGGGCACCTGGCTCTCCTTTATCTGCCTCCCTACACTGACCAAAGATTAATTAGTTACCATTTGCCAGGTCCTGAAAAATGAACAGTTTTAAACCTCGACAGTCAGAATGAACAGCAATGCTAATTGAAAAGCTGACCAGGGAGGGACTGCAGAAGAAAAGCTCCCATCAGGCCACAGCAACTGCAGAGGGGGTCCTCCCTGGCCTGCAGGCTGAAGCCAGTTAAACTCACTCACTCACTCTCTGTCTCTTTCTGTCTCTCCCCGCCCCCCCCCACCCTTCTCTTCCAGGTAATCAGGGAATAAGAACAGTCTAAGCACAGGTGTGCCAGAGGTGAAAGGGCAGGAAAAGTTCAAGAGAGCCTGGAAATAGCTTCTGTTTTATTCCCACCTGGCTGAAGGGAAATGGTTAGACTACAGGATTTCCATGGGACACCAATATGTGAAGTTTCTAATCAGAATTAACACGTTATAATACAGAAAAGTATCCCTGGGGTTATATCGAATAAGAAAAAAAAAAACCCACAAATTGTGTAAGGTACAATCACAATTTTAACACCTTTAAAGGTTTATGCAATGAATAACTAGAAAGAAATGCATTCAAATAGTGAGACTGCCAAGGGTTAGCTAGGGGTTGGGTGTTTACATTTCTTCTATGTTTCTCTATATATCTTTAATTCTCTTAAACAGCTATTTACTACTTCTTAAAGTAGAATAAGCTTTCAAAGATGACATATTCCATGTTTTCTCTCCAAAGGCAAAACACGTGTGTATGTTGTATATCCCCAAAGATTTCTGCATGCCAGAGAAAGCACCTTTTCTGCCCCAACATACAACACACACTCAGAACCTGATAGGGACATAATAAATGGAGGCTTTTTTAAAGATACTTGAATATTCATTAAAAGAAAAAAACCTAGCATTAGTAGTAAGTCATTTGCTCTTTAAATCTGAGTTACTTTAAAACTTTTTTTTTTTTTTAAATCGGCATTGACTGTTGCTTTCCTGAAGATAAAAGCATGTTCTAGGAGATCTTTAGTCTTCGGGACTACTAATTTGAAGAGAACTGTCGCTCCCAAGCGTGGAGCAGGGTGGGGTATTGACACTGTATTGAATTATTTAAAGGAAATTAACGATGCTTCCTGTCCTTGGAGAGCGTCTGCCTCCGGGTGGGTGTGGAGGAGTGTGCATTTCTCGGTCCCCTGAATTTTAAAAGAAAATCTATACGTTCTAAATTACTAATAACAACGGCAAAGTTGAGGTGCTAACTTGCCTCCCACAGGGAGCTGGAAAGAGTCCCAGGAAATTACTTCCTGGGGTCATGTTTAATGGGCTCACTTGCTGCTCATCACTCTCACAGTAGCCCTGTGTGACACGGGGTCACGTGGCCTTTATGGGGAGCAGGGTATCTTGCATTCACAGAAGCACCACCTCCACCCTCTTCTTGTAAACTGGCACTTTTATGGCTATGATACCTCTATCAACCGTCAGTACAGCCAGACATCATGGCACCCGAAATGATAGTGACCCCATGAGAATTCGGGCATGGTGGTGGATGCCTGGGCCCTGTCCTCGTGAAAGGTAAACTTTGGATGGGTGGTTTCATTCCAGAGCTGGCTGATCTCATACCGTCATTCTGCTCCGAGACCTACCTCCAAACACCAGGGCTCCCCAACCTTTTGTAAGGAGTGGCAGCTTTTCATGTCCCTGAAGACTTGCGTGCTGACAGTGAAGTCTGAGGGGGGGTAGAAGTGCTGACAGGCATGTCCCTGAGTGCAGCAAGGGAGGGGGCTCTGCTGCCAGGAAGAAAGGGGAACAGAGTGAGGCTCGGGAGGGAGGGGACACGGTCACCAAGGTATACACAGCCCCCAGCCTGCCATTCCACCAAACCCACGGTTCTTCAGTAACACAGGAGATGATACTCCCAGCATGAGCCCAGAACTCTTCACCTCCCTGCTGTGCAGCTGCGGTCCCTTGAGGGACCTCTGACACAACCTCCTCCAAGTAGCCTTCCTGTTGTGGCCCTTTCCGCCATCTCCACCCTACCCATCAGTCCCTCATGCTCCTGCTGCTTGTCGCTCTGAGCCTCCAACAAGCCACCTAGCTGGCTCTCTCTCTCTCTCTCTCTCAACTTACCTTACTGAATCTTCTATTAGTCTGAACTCTGTGAAATTGCTATTTCTGCCCTACAAAAACATGCTTCCACTCACTGCCTAAGCTGTCTGGGGATCTGGTCTGTCATAATACCTGGTCCTACCTAGACTGAAATTTTTTGAGAGAACCAGCTACAGCACCATCTCTGCACTCCTAGAAACATCAGGCAGCACACACCATGGGTGCTGAATTGAATTTCTGCCCAACAGGAGCCTGGTCCCAAGAGCTGCTACTGACTGCCTCCTCCATCTAGGGCCCTAGACAGAAATGTGCTTGTGATTCCATTAATCCTCACCACCACCCTAAAAGGTAGGAGTGTCATGCCCAGTTCACAGAGGAGGAAACTGACTCAGAGACGTTAAGAAGCATGCCCAAGGTCACACAGCTAGCGATGGTAGAGGGGCAATATGGACCATGTTTCAGTCAACTGAAATGGCTGCTGTGTAGACCTGTTTGCTTTTCCAAGTGTGTCCTATGGTTCTACATACAGAGTGGAGAATTTAGGGGTGTAAAGAGCAACCTGGGGTCCAAGAAGGGTTATTTCACAACCAAGAAATAGTATTTCAATTTTCTTTAGAAAAAGAAAAGGCTTATGCCTTTTATGTTCACTGGAAAAGATGTATGCCCTTTCTATTGTAACTTCTCAAAAATTGATGTGAAGAAAAAGTACATGAATATGCCACCCTTCATAATCCTGAATAATAATAATTCAGAAGTAAAAATGGAGGTTGAACACAATACTCAGCATCTTCTATGTTCTCATATTCACGATCAGAGTGAATGCAGTGGGTAGGGATGGTTCTGGGACATAAGAGATCAGTGAAAATACAACAGTAGCCACAATTCCAGAACAGCCTACATGGTTACCATAGCACTGGGCCCTGAGTTCTTTCAGGTGGATTAAAACCATCCATAGGCAAAGTGAGCTCCCCAAATGAGAAGGGACCACACTGTCTGAAAATTGGAGCTTCCATGACTCCTGTGGCTGCAGCTGACCCTGTGTCCAGACTGTGAGAGCCACCATCTGCCAAAAGTCCAGGGATTTGCCCCTGCCAGCAGCAGAGGGAATACTGTCCTCCAACCCCAGAAGTCTCCTATCTCTACCTGGGAAGCCAAGCCTGCCCACCCTATGTTCTCCACGGTGCTCATGGGTAAACAGAATGAGTCACGAGGCAAGCATGAGTCCATATGAGAGATGAGCCCAACTTTACAGCTGAACTGATCCACAGCCGTGACTCACCTGAATGCTGCCCTTCAAAGGTAACATGGTTAACCCTCCAGTTGTTTCTGGAAGGAACCCAGAAACACAAGGCTTAATCCTGGTCTACTTGCTTTGTTTTCTAACATAATGCTGGAAGCAAAGAAGCAAGGGCAAGTAGCTGGGAGGAGTTTGGAAAAGAAATTATGCAGTCAAGCAAGGGCTGCCATCAACTATGTCATCTTTATTATCTTCCATCATCACTTCTATGCCATCTATCTTCTCTCTTACAGCGCCTGTGCCTTGTCCACACACACACACACACACACACACACACACTATTCTTCCTTTCCTGCCTAGGAACTGGGACTCTTAGAGCCAAATTTGTAGGTCACATCCCCCCTCTCTTTAGGAGCTATCAGCTTTGAACTTGTAGAATGTGCCTTTTCTAATGGGCCTACCCTGCTTTTTCTTTATTTAGTGTCTTCATTATTCATATCTAATCTATTGCAGAACACAAAATCTTACAAGTCACCTCAAGTTTTAGGGTAATGTCCTATAAAAAATTTCAATGTTACTGGGCACTGGTTGCTCATACCTGTAATCCTAGCTACTTGGGAGGCTGAGATCAGAAGGATCACAGTTAGAGGCCAGCCTGGACAGATAGCTCATGAGTCCCCCCACCTCCAAAATATCCAGAGCAAAATGGACTGGAGCCACAGCTCAAGTGCTAGCACACATGCTTTACAAGGGCAAAACCCTGAGTTCAAATCACAACACCACACAAAAACTGAATGTATATCCAAGCCTAAAATCATTTTGTGATAAGAGAAGAACTACAGTTGAGTCTCTACCACAGAAGACAAAATTCTTCAATAGATTCTGGAAATTAGGTGTGGGCTACTGCTGAGTTTTCTGTTCTACATCCTTCATGATTTCTCTGATAAGGAAACCTCAAACTACTTAGGGCCCGAGTCTTGAGCACAAACAGCATAAACGCCTCCCTTGCTCCAGGGGTGGGCTAAAACATTTACTTAGTCCAAACCCACTCAGGACACTACAATCCCTTACCAAAGATGCTGAGTCAGAATCAAGGTCAAGGACCTTGAATAAGTCTCTGTGCAGTGAAGCCAATTTGGAGGGCAGCAGAACCAAGTACTGGAAGGAACACGATCTTAGTGCATGGGCCCCTGGATCCAGCCATACCTGATGTCTCCTACTCTTGGATATTTCATCTGCGGATCAATACAATACTTCTCAGCCAGTCTGAACTGGGGTTGGAGAGAGAAGGAAGTTTAGGACTAAAAAGTCTAGTCACCTTAGCCAGACTGACCTGAACAATTGTCTACTCATGAATCAAGTGGTAATACAGAAAAGAACAGAGAAGCTCCAGGAAAAATTAAATGAAGTCCTGGTGAGTTCCCTGCTCCTGCCGTGAGGGAGCTGGAGTAGACACTCAGTACCTCCTTATGGTTAAGCTAGAATGCGGGAGAGGGACCTTGAGCAGTGAGCCCTGTTTCTCCTCTAGGGTCCCCAACAAAGCCACTAGCGGCTAATGCCTAGTTCAAGTCCACAAACACATCACACCGCAGGCATTCAAGAAAGCAGGGGTCACCAATCCTCGCCAGTGCTAAAAATCTGCTCCTTGGCTTTCTGAGCTTGGCCTGTCTGTGACAGGATTTCCATAGGTCACGTCTTCTGGGGAAGATGAAGTTACGAGCTTGCATAATGACAAGAGAGAATACGGGCAGGAGGGTTGGCGGGTTTGAGTCTCCCTGTGGCCCAGCGCCTCCTGACGCAGTGTGTTAACCAGACTGTGCCCAGTTACAGGAATCTAGATAGAGAATCAAGGTGTGCCGCCCATAAAGTCGAGCAGTATTTGCATACACCATTATCTTGCTTCCTTATGAGCTTACAGCCCCCTCAACAAGTGGCTGGGCAATATTCAAAGTTAATGCAACAGAATGGAGTCCAGTGAACTAGAAAAGTACAAATTGCTCTGAAAGGAAAACTTTAAAATGGAAAAATATAGGAAAAGAAAAAAGAGGCGAAAAGCATTTAAAAAAAAACACGCATAAACCCAGGTATAGTGCCACAAACCTGTAATCCTAGCACTTGGGAGGGGGAAGCAAGAGGACTGTGAGTTCTAGGCCAGTCTGGATCCCACATGGTGAGACACTTTCTCAAAAAACAAACAAACAAAAACACCCTAAAAATATTAAACCTTCCAGAGATTTTTAGGCTGTGTGTCGTGGCTCATGCCTGCAATCCTAGCTACTTGGGAGACAGACACAGGGAGGAACACAGTTTGACGCCAGCCCAGGCAAGAGAAGTTGGAGAGCCCCCATCTCAACCAGTGGCTGGGCACAGTGGCACACATCGGTCATCCCAGCTATGCAACTGTCGTGGTCCAGGCTGGCCCAGGCATGAAGTGAGACCCTGTCTCAAAAATAACCAATGCAAAAGTAGCTGGCAGAACACCTCAGAGTGGCAGAGTGCCTGCCTAGCAAGCGAGAGCAGGAAAGGGAAAGGGGAGGGGAGAGGTTTTGTATAAAATAATATGACTCAGTGAAATTTGTCAATGGCTACTGGCTCTTGGGAGAACACACTGTCTAAGAAAAGTTCCACGTGGTGATCAATTTCATGTGTCAGTCTGTCTGCACCATGGGGTGTCTAGATATTTGGTAACATACAATTCTGGAAGGTTCCATGGGGCGTCTGGATACGTTTAACACTTAAATGGCCAGACCAAATATGGGTGAACCCTATTCAGTTGACAGCCTTGTCTACAGTAGGCGGGTTCCCAAATAAGAGAGAAATCCTCTGCTGAACTAACTGCTTTGGAGCCTAGGTATCAAGCTTGCTCCTACCTTTGAACTTGACTAAAACACCATTTCTTCCAGGGTTTTGGGAAGAAGTCCACCAGTGGTTGTCCTGGTCCTTGGGCCTTTGACTGGAGCTCTGCTACGATTCTCCAGTCAGTCTCCTGCCTGTGACTTCTCAGCTTTAGAACTGTGTGAGGCAGATCCTTACAGTAAGCCTCTTTCTGCACATCCACACTTACATTCTATCGGCTCTGTGTCTCTGGAGAGCCCTGACTAAGGCATGTGGCCTGTGTTTTCGTGTATTTTCTCCTCCATAGCAAGAAGGAAACGATTATTCATGGATCTGTGAATGAGATCAGAATTTCAGAATGGAATGAGTCTTAGAGATCACCTGATTTAATTCTTTCTTACAGACTGGCTTTTAGATTCCTAGGCCTAGATGTGAAAGGACTGTCCAGGTCTATACCACTGAGAAAGAATGGAAACTAAAACCTAGATTTAGAAAAAAAACCCAGGAGTTCAGGGTTTTATGCACACTGTGGAAGAATTTTCTTTTGAAAATGCCACATTTCTGGAGGAATAAGGGATCCATTTGGCCACAGACTTTGACCAGGGC